ATTTCCTTACCCTGCTGCTGTCTTTAGACCTGGTTTAGTTTGGTCCTGACCTGAGACCTGGTTTAGTTTGGTCCTGACCTGAGACCTGGTTTAGTTTGGTCCTGACCTGAGACCTGGTTTAGTTTTCTCCAGTGCTGCTTTGAGTGAAGAGACCCCATCCAATATGGCGACGCTGGAGCAAGTGACTATACTCTTATTTGGTGCATTAATCTACAAAGTTTTGAAAGCAGATCATGAAATTACCTTTTTATACATAATAATGAGTAATAGTTTTGTTTATTTAACATTTATAATATTTTATCATTGTAGCTAATGTTATTTGGCAATCAACAAAACGATAACAGCAGGAACTGGTTCTTGCTGTTGTCACTGCGGCGCTGAACAATGTGATTCAGCCCGCCAAGAGGTATCTAGTTATTTATAATATATCTATGCACCAATTGATCAGAATCAGAATCAGGTTTATTGACCAAGTATGTTGACACATACAAGGAATTTGTTTCCGGCTGTTCGTGTCTCTCTAGAATTAACACTATACAGATACTTTACATATAATTTACACATAGTACACAATATACAGAAAGATACACATTATACTTCATAGTTTTTAAGAACTAAAGCAGTAAAAAGCAGAATCTTTCTGCAGTGTTTTTATCTTCTGACACCATGAAAAGAGGGCCATCATGTAACTGTCTTATTGTGTCTGTGTGGATCTGACATTTTGTTCAGTGTGAGTCAAAGCAGCAGGACAATAAACTGAGAAATACACAAACTCTGAGCAGTACTTTAGTAAAAGTATTTTTACTCTAGTAAATGTACTTCGTTCCCTTCCTCCTGCAGACTGACAGGAGTTGATGACGTCAGCTGATCTGATGATATTTTACTACATAAACCTGATCATGTTTTAATATTTTAATGAAAAAAAAAAAAGAAAAACTTGTTCAGAACAAAAAGTGCAGATGGAGTCAGAGCGCCCTCTRGTGGCTGCCTGATGCTTCTGCTGCTTTTTTCAGCTCATCTCTGAAACATGAAGAAACTTTCATCAGATCAGAGGAACTAATATAAACATTTAATA